CATACATACATACATACATACATACATACATACATACATACATACATACATACATACATACATACATACATACATACATACAGTACATACCTTACAGGACTTGATGACAATAACTCCTGAGTTCTTGTAGTTCTTCTTCTTCTTCTGTTTCTTGGGGTTGATGCAGTCAAACTCCACCTGAGGAGACAGAGAAAGTGAAAGAAAAAGACAGAAAGAAAGAAGAAAAAATGAAAGTGTGTCAGGAACAGAGGGCAAAGTTAAAGCGAGACTGAGCACAGATGACAACAGAGTTGGTTGGAGGGAGCTGAGAGAGTGTTGGGTTTGAAGAAGCTGACTGAGAGGCTGTGACAGCAATCGGCAACTTTCCAGACGCCGCCTACGGTAACTTCAACATGACTGACACACTTAGAGCTGATCAGCAGCACACTGTACTATGCAGAGGTACAGTACGGACCCCTGCTGTACACCTCAGAAGGAAATGGGTTAATTTAAAGTGATGCAGAAGAAAGAGAAGAGTATTTAATGCGACAGACTTTGATCACGACACCTTCTGCACAGACACACCTGCAGTCAGAGGCTGATCTGTCCGACAGGTAGTTCTAAACGCCCCGTCGTGTCACTGGAGCTCAGCTAAAGGCTGCTTTACATCTCAATAGCACCTCTCACTTCGTTTTCCTACTCGTAGTCTTTCTCTCTCCCTAACTCCATTCTGCTTCTGTCACTATTTGCTTGATATTTTGCACCCCCCCCCCCCTCCAACACACACCATTTCCACTCATGAAAGGTCTCGGTGGGAGAAGAAGTGATGAAGCTGCTAATGAATGAACGGTGCTCTGATCTGTGCAGCTCTAAAGCTTCAGCATAAATTTAAAAAAGCAAAAGGAAGGAAATCTCAGCAGAAGCTACTTGTTGGAGCAAGACGACTGGAAATAAATGAGGCTAAATGTGATTTATTCTCTAATAAAACAAAAATGCTACATTTTTAGGAATTCTACGCAAATCAATGCAAGAAAGCAAGAAAGTTTTAAACTGATAATTTCATGTTGAGACAGTTTGACAGCCTTGTTTTGGTTAAACTCTCAAAGACTCCAGATGTAGCGTTAGGCTGCGAGTTGTGGATCACCTTCGGCTACTACCACATCAAATCTAAGCTCAGTGTCTGTAAAACTGACTAAATCAGAGCCATTTTTGTGTTGGCATATGTCCACCATCTTGAATTACTTGGACTCCAAAGGTTAATTAGATGTAAACGAACGTTAAAGGTTTACATTCTAAAAGTCTAATTAAACCCTGTCCACCTGTTCATGAGATATTTTGCTAACAAACAGAGTTGACTCCAACTGACCTAATTAGAGCTGTTTTTGTATTTCCTAATGTCATTTGGCTCTGTTGACATCTTAGATTGGTCAAATCAGCTATAAACATCCATCCATCCATCCATCCATTATCTTTACCCATTTATTCCATTTTGGGTCACGGGGGTCGCCGGTGCCCATGTCCAGCAATCACTGTGCGAGGGGCGGGGTACACCCTGGACGGGTCGCAAGTCCATCACAGGGCCACATAGAGACAAACAAGACAAACAACCATTCACTCTCTCACTCACACCTAGGGACAATTTAGAGTTACCAATCAGCCTAACATGCATGTTTTTGGTCTGTGGGAGGAAACCGGAGTACCCGGAGAAAACCCACGCATGCACGGAGAGAACATGCAAACTCCACCCAGAAAGGCCCCTGGACCGGGGTTTGAACCAAGGACCTGCTCGCTGAGAGGCAGCAGCTCTACCAGTTGCGCCACCGTGCTGCCCCAGCTATAAACATGTATCCAGTAATTATTTCCTAAAAATTTCATTCAAATCCATCCAGTGACTCATGAAATATTTTGCTAACAGACAAGAAGAATTGACTCCAAATGCTTAATGGCAAATCTTTAAACAGATATTCTTTAATCAGTTTGTGCTCAGAATGTGCTGGAGATCAGTCTCAGCTACTACCACATCAAATGACTAAGTCAGTCAAACTGACAGAGCTTTATTGTGTATTTTAGGATCAGTTGGCTGTGGCGGCCATCTTGAATGAGGTTGACACCAAAAGTTAATCAGTTGTAAATGGAATAAAATAACATTATCAACTGCATTCAGCAGTGGACGATAAAAACATTTTAAAAATATAATTATTTGTCTCTTTTTATAAATATTGTTTAACATACATTAAAGATTAAGATAAATCAAAAATTAAATTCCTCCTCTGTTTAAAGATGGTTAGGGTTAGAGAGGAAGACGGCTCATATTCCAACTTTCCAAAAATGCAGCTTTATGTCTGATACCCAGTCATTTCCATCCCTATCAGGAATTTCATCCATGCGACCAGAGTGGCCAATCTGTGAGTCAAACTAACAAAGACCTTAACTTTTTTCATTCAACATTTATTTATACAGATAAATCACACTGAGCCTCGTTGACTCATTTACAAGTGAGACCTGTTTGGACAGAAAATAAGTGGTGAAAGTGACAACAAAGGTTTTGGAGGCAAAAAATTCCTATCAGGCTCTCAATCTTTGACAGAAGATTTGACAGAAGCCTGAAAATGAAAAAAATAAAATAAAAAAAACCCTTACACACAAGCGCATAGTGACGCCGACATTCCACAGGGCACGGGTGGTGGTGGTGGGGGGGACGCAAGGGCAGTGAGAGTGTCCAGGGACACTCACAGAGACACTGCAAGAGTTCTGATAAGTGTTATCCCCGAGATCTGATCATCCTATCAAAGTTCACAATGCAATTGAGTCTGGGTGCTCAAGGCACTAATAATGTCATCACATAAGGTAGGCAGCCTGACCAGGGCCAAATTTTCTGCTGACGACTTCCTTGTTTGTTGATAGACCAGGAACCAGCCAAATCCAAAAAACAGGAAACCAGTTATCATAAATCCAATTATAAATGTGTCCTTAACATCCTCAATTGACAGCAGAGATAGATAGACACATCAGCAAGTCTTCAAAGTCCGTGAGATATCCAGCTGCGTGCGTGCCAACGGGGCAAGTCGGCTCCACTAATGCCTGTTTTCTAGCCGAAGAAATGTTATCAATTGCGTTGGGGAACCATCTGACCAAATCCATAGCAGAATTATGATTCGGAAGATTTGTAGACAAGAGGCTCTAAAGCAGTTTCACAGATAGGACAGAGCAAAGTGGAGAGGGAGAGGAGGGGAAATGTGTCCGCTCTTGACAAGAGCAAGTGTTGAAGTGACGAACCCCTATTGTGAGGATTGATAGGGCAATCTGGACATGTATCTAGCTTAGCTCAGCTTTATAACTCCAACCCCCCACTCTGTTCTTTGAATTGAGAAAGCTCCTCGGCTGAGAGGCGAAACACCTTCTGTTACAAATAAAGTCCAGTTGTTTTTCGTCTTGAACTTTTTTGAAGTCACCTTACATTTTACTTCTAAAGAGTGACAATTCATTCTCAACAACAGTCCTCCAGATTTTCTAAATACCGTATTTTCCGGCCTATAAGTCGTACCAGAGTATAAGTCGCATCTGCACAATAATGTCTAATAATTTGGACAAATTCATAAATACGTCGCTTCGCTGTATGTCGCATCTATTATGCGTCATCGCTGACAACCCGTAAATGTGGGCCGAACCTGGAAATGTGGTCCGGTGTTGTGCCAAAAATAGATTGGCTGCCAAATGGCAGCCATAGGAGCGTGCACGGGAGGACTTTAACAAGAATTGAACAAGATTAACACTTAAAAACAATTACTTGTTTGTTCAAAATTATAGTAAAAGTGTTAAAAACCACCAAAGACAAACAATGAAGCATTTGGTGCTTCTGCAAAAGAACAACAATGGTGGGTACAACGTGGACCGAGGCAGTTAACGATGTGGGCAACAAAATAATGTGCACGACCTGGAGTGCAGCTTTTCAAGCCGAGGGCACAAAAAAGTGGTTTGTGGTTTTAAAAACTCGGCAGTAGGGCTTCCAGGTTGCTTGGTCACAAATTTGTGCAAAGATGTCATATTTGAGTCCCTGAGAGGCACTGACTTAAACCCAACCCTCACTGTTCTGGTTCAATAAGCCAGTTCTCTTAAAGAAACCTGATGTAAAATGGACCTGCTTTGCGATATAGAGCCCAGAACGATAGAGCACACACACACCCTACACCCATGTGTTTTACCTCCACTGAGTTCTGCGCCTCGCTCATCTTGGCAACTGCGGTCTGAAACTCTCCGATGAAGTCGTGGCCTCCGTCGTTGTCGTAGTCGTAACACAGCACCTGTCATTGGGCAGAAGGCATACCATCATCCTGTCCTGGAATTTATTCAAATCCTGGGATTTATTCTCAGGTTTCTTTTAAGGCCCGTTGCTGTTTGAGTCTTACAATCGAGGCGGGTGGATGGAACAAACCAAACGCTCAGAGAAGAGGAGGAGACTAACCTTGATGTTTCTGTCCACGTCTCCATTGCAGAGGGAAATGAGAGGCACAGTGAAGGGTTTCCACACCGGATCCAACGTGTTCTTAATGACCTGAAGTCCCAGAAACAGGAAGGTTCTTGTTAAAACACACTCATGAACTTTGGTTTATATTAATCTTGCAGGTGGCAGTGATAGACTGTGTAATGACTCACCTCAGTCCGGTGCACCAGCATCCATTTACCGTCTTCTCCCTGTTTGTGAAACTCCAGGTACGGATCTGATTTACCGAAGAAGTCCTGTCATTGGAAAGATTATCCTTATTATCCCCATTTCCCCTTAATTTAACTAATCTCCAGCTGACCCCCTCTGTTGTGTTGTGATCGTTTAAACAGCTCTTCTAAAGAAGGCTTTATTTAAAGCGAGACAGTCAGAGCTTCAGCAGTCAGTGTTTTTGTGCGTCCTGGTGGTTTAACAGGAGCGTGCACAGCAGGTGGACTCGTAGCAAACAGCTCCTCTAACGAGCTGCAGCTTTATTTTCTGTTTTAATGTGGAAGTTACATAATGATAAGATAATCACATTTTCCACAAAGGTGCCACAAAAGCCAATCCAGTCCGACGAGAGAATTATAAGCAGCTCTTCTCAGCAGAACCGTTGTTAAAAACATAATTATGAACAAAGTTTTGTTGTATTATCATTATTAAACTGCAAACAGGCTCCACCCTGGTCTGCTTCTTTGTTGTTTCTGGTTCAGCTTCATAGTCATCCCCACAAATGAAGCTTTTACATCAACAAGAGTACCGTATACAGCACATTACATGAAAAACTGTAAATGTATCTGTAAAGTATCACACAGATTTACAGCAATTAATAGCAGTGGTCTGGACAAGCAATATGTATTTGACCTTGACCTTAGAGCTGGGGTGATGAAAACTGTACATGACCTTCATTTTGGTGATGATGCATAAGTGTATCAAATTCCATTCAAATATGTTGAGCGAATCAGAAGTGCAAGAGAATATTTAGGCCCTGTTTACATGAAAACAATTTTTTTTGAAAATGGAAGAGTTTTGCTGCAAATTTTTTCTCTGACAACGGCACAATTTGAGAACAGGTTCCAGAGTGCAATGGTTCAAAAATGTCCCGGTGTCTGTTGTCGTGTAAACAGAAAAAATATATATTTTCTGTCAGGGAATTCCTGGCTCATGTGCAGTTTGACGCAAAACTGTTACAACGGGAGCCGAATGCGGGCCCCGAGCTACTGCAGCTAGCTGTTGCTAACCGAGGGCCTCAGGCCTCCTCTCGGACCCCAGGTCCACCTCCAGCTCATGCTCCCCCCGGCTCGGACGTCCCTCAGAAGCGGCAACTCACACTATTAATAAATCAAGGAAACGTGAATTCAGTTTTACCAATTGTATTAAATCAAGGCAGGAAAAGGTTACAGTTTACAGCGCTGGCCGGTCCGGTACACGACGCGAGATCAGGAACCGGAAGAGGCGGATGTCCCGTGGCATTACAGATTTATAGGGCCTAGACTCCTCCTTTCGCATAAGGGGAGAAACCTATCATGTGTATAAGGGGGAGGGACTAAGTGTGATCTCAATGGATCTTATCTGATTTAACGTGAAAGGAAAAAAATGAGACGTGGATAACAAGCCTTTCTGTGTGATGCAACAAGCAAAATAAACTACATTCTTCGACGGATATTGAATCCCTGGGAGACTCTTTTTAGAGTTACTGGTGCCATTTAAACCAGTCAGAACTGGGTCATATTTTCATTATAATCCCATCTCTGAGCAGATAAAAAAAAAAAACAGGGTCAGTCTAGATAAAAATACTAACAAAACATAAAGGCTTCCTACAATCCACAGAAGAAGAAACTATCAACAATGGTGGATACCAGAGGATTGTTTGTAGTATTGTTTATGCAACAGTTGAACCTCGTCGTCTGTCCATAGAAATATTTTATTCTCTGCCATCTCGACCATTGTAACATCTTTCGGGTAGAACCTTCTTTTTTTTTTTTTACACGTAAGCATTTACAGTTTCAAGAGTCCAAGAACATAGCACCAACTAGTGGCGTGGAGAGGGAATTACACCTTTCCCACGTCTACCGTTGCTGTGTAAACAGAGATTGTAATTAGAACGTTTTCATGTAAATGTGTTAATAGAAATGGGAAAATTTTCAGTTTTCATTGGCTCGTTGTTGTGTAAACAGGGTCTAGGAACCAACAGAGAACACACCATAAGTCCCGCCCTCGACAGGCCTATAAAAACCATCACTGATCCGTAATACAAGACAAGCATTTATCAGGATTTTGGATTTTCTGGTGCATCTGAAAGCCCACTGGTTTGCAGACAAAAAAAGAAAACATTGTGGAAACATTTACAGTAAATAGTCTGTGTGGGCTCAGCGTCCAAATTAGTTATTGAATATATTTATACAGACTTGTTTTAGTTTTTGCATCCTGACATTCTGTGAGTGCGTGTACAGTGTGTGTGTGTGTGTGTGTTTGTGCGGGTCCAACAGCCCACCTTCTTATCCAGTTTGCGCCCACTCAGGGTCAGAGTGATGATTCTGTTGTCAGACAGCTCCTGCGCTGTTATCTAAAGTAACGACACAGAGCAACAGGCTCAAACTCAAACACTTCGAATCAACAACAGCTACAGTAACTGAAGGAAACCTCTGCAGGGTCGTCCTGATCTGCAGCTACATAGTAAAAACTTTTTTTTTCTAAATAAATTTACATTTGAGTCACAAAACCTGACAGATGTGCAGGAGGTTGGTGGATTTGGTCTGACTCTAACTGGTAACAGAAAAGTTACTAAAACACAGAAGAACGGGCTCAAACTATAGATATTAATTTCATAGAGTTCAATATTTTTACACGTTGTATGAAAAAAACAGGCCAGAGGTAACATCAAATGTATAAAAAGTGGTTTCAATGATGGCGCTGAATATTACCGTGATGGATCCTTTGCCAGCTGGCTTCCCATTGGCTAATATCAACGGTCGGTGAAGTTTCTTATTAGACACGATCTGAGAAAGATAAAATAATGAAAACTAGAGAAACATGTGAAGATGCAGTGTGAATGCTTATTGCTGAAAGCTGCTGAAGAAGCTGAAACCAGGCTGTTAACGAGTTGAATTTGAACAGCTGAAGTTCGCTGAAAGCTGGAAAATAACATAAAGCAGAAGAAAAAGAGCTGAAATGTGTAGAAAATGATGAACAGAGCAGAAATGTAGCAGAATAAGCTGAACTAGGCAAAGAATAGATTACAAAAAAAATCTGAAATTAGCAACAAAAAACATAAGATAAGAAAAATGAGCTGATATGAGCTTTAAAATGTTGCTGAAAAATAATAAATAAATAAACAAATTAACAGAAAGAGGCTAAAAGGAGCACAAAAAGTTTAAATTATAAAGAAGCATAAAAGGTAGAAATGAGCTAAAAAATAAATAAAAAAACTAGAAAAGGGGGAAAAAACACCTAAAAAAATTTGTTGAAAAATGAACAAAAATAGGTGAAAGGAGCAGAAAAATAGTTGAAAGGAGCTGAAGATGAACAGCTGAAATGAGCTGTACAAGGTTTTAAACAGCTGAGAGTGCATGAAGGACGCAGAGAGAGCTCCATTCATTTTCACAAAGGAAAACATGGCCGACAAAGCTAAATATTTAAGTAAAAACTGCACAAATACCAAAAGTCAGAGCAGGAATGTCTTGAATGAGCCGAACGTTTTGATATATTATTGAAATGGTACAAACATTTTCAGAACGAGTAACGTGCCAAAACGCGTTCTTTAAAGGTGAGAACGATTAATAAATATTCACACAACAATAAGGATCAGCTGCAGGTTCTTTTTTATGAAACGTAACCTCTTCTAGATGAATTACCTACAGTTCCACTTGGCCATTTGTAATAACTCTAAACAACATTTTGTCCTCCTGAACTATTCTTTTGTTCCTATCTGAGCCAAAGCTGAGTGTAAAAGGCAGAGGGCGTACCACTCCCAGCGTACAGACGAACTCTCCCAGGAAGTCGTGTTCGTAGAGCTGCGTGGCACATTTGTCTTCGTCGAACATGGCGAAGCGCAGCTTCTGAATCTCCTCAAAGTGATAGTCCACCTGAAACTTCACGCCGAACACCGGGTTCAGGTTGTTCACGGCTGTTTCCGTGCGTCCCAGCTGATAAAACAAGAACGGAAGAAGGGAAGGGTCATTTGTTTGTTTTGTTTGAAGGTTATTGGTGAGTAAAGAAATACAGCATTACCAAAACTTTATTCCTATTTTTCTCGACGTACTCCTCCCATTTTGTCCATTATTCTGCTTATTAACTTTTTATGTTCCACTTTCCATAGATGATACTAATCAAGCTAATTTACTGAACATATACAAATTATTTTATCCTGCAGTAAATGCTTCAGTTAAGGTAAATATCAAGTTTTTATTTGCATAAAAAATACATCACCAAACTCACGACAGTAAGTGCACATATTTTGTTTTTATCAAATTTTAATAACAACTCCATTGTTTTAAGCTGAAATATCAGAGTTTCACAACAGTTTTCTTCTCAACAGGACTAGCTTAAAGTTTTTACATTAAAATAAACTCTCTTTTAATTATTGTGCTAAAAATAGTCTTTCTCTGCCAAACCTCCAGGAAGCTAAATGAAGCTGATTTGATGGTTGCTCCAAGAGAGCTGGACAAAGATGGCGGTCTACTGCAAGACGATTGTGTCATTAATAGCCATTTTTATCTATTACATGACATAACGGCATGCCATACTACTTGAGCGCTATCAAACGGCTGAAAATGGTAGTGTTCAATTTTTTAAGTCAGAATGAATGAAAACAGTCATATCTCAGAAAAACATTGGTTTTATAAATATAGAAAAAATCCATAAACAAGTTGCTTCAGCATATAAGTCACAGGGCATGCAAATTAGGCCAAAAAAGTGACTTATAGGCTGAAAAATACGGTACATATATTAATAAACGTCTGCATAGCTTTCCTGAAGGCTCAGAGCCTTGTGTTTTGGCCCCACCAACTCTACAGCAACATTGTAATTGATTACTTTTCCTGTCAATTATTAAACAATCTCATCCTGACTTAGTTAAACCTTTTGTCCTAAAAGTGAAGTCCTGACCAATGAGATCTCCTTCTGTTTCTGCCTGGAGACAACAATTTAAAATGATCTGTTTGGATAACTGTACTGTACCCCTCCCTGAATCACCACCTTATCGTGGTGGAAGAGTTTGTGCACCTGAATGATCCTAGGAGCTGTGCTGTCGGGAGCAATTGTATTTGCCCCTGGTAGGGTCTCCAAATGCAAATTGGTTCTAGGTGACAGGTCAGAAAAAGAGTGATTCTAAGACTCATATGGACTGAAAACAACAAGGAGCTCAGTGTCCCTTGTCCAGATGTGGGTTACCAGGGCCCCATCCTGGAGCAAGGCCTGGGGTAGGGGTTTGTTGGTGGGTGCCTGGTGACTGGATATCTACCCATGGAGCCAGGTAGGGCTCAACCTGAACGAGCAACACGGGTTTGCTTTCCTGTGGGCCCAACACCTGCAGGAGAGGCCCTATGAGTCAGGTCCATGACTACATGGGCAGTGGCTGAAGGCGGATCCCTTGGCGCTCTGACACTGGCTTACCAAAGCTGGCTCTTTTTTCATTCATTCAACCTTTATTTAGACAGGTAAATCCCATTGAGCCTCGAGGACATTTACAAGAGAGACCTGATTTCAACAAAGAATGATGACAACAATGGACAACAGCGACAACAATAGACAGTTATAAAAAGGCATACAGATTTTTTTTTTTTTTTTAACAAATAGGATGGCTAAAAAAAGAAAAGTAACAAAAAAACAGCTAGATTCTAAGGCGAATGGGACATGGAACAAAACCTCTGGAGGGGAAGGAGCCTGAGCTTCCGCATGAGGTCGAGAGGTACCAACTAAATATAGTTGGACTCGTCACAATGAAGCTTTGACGGTTGTCTGTGCCTACGTGTCAAACGGTCGTTCAAAATATACGACCTTCTAGGAGTCTTTATCGGGGGTGGTGGAAGGTGCACCAGCTAGGTCAGATTTATTCTGCTGGGGGACTTCAGTGCCTATGTTGTGTTATGACAGTGTGACCTGGAGGGGCGTGTTTGGGAAGCACGGCCTCTGATCTGAACTCAAGCGGTGTTCTGTTGTTGGACTTCTGTGCTGGTCATAGTTTGTCCATCTCAAACACCATGTTAGAACATAAAGGTTCAACTGTGGATCAGTTTGACTGTTAAGCCAGCAGTTTGTTACTCTTCTGTCAGTCATTTGTCAGAGATGAGCTGCAAACTGATGCTGAATTTTTGGACAAACTTTTCTCCACTGTGCAGGTCCCCTCACATTCCAGATGTTTGGTTTTGTCGTTTGTTTCCTAAATACTCTCTGGGAGTCTCTGAGACGAGTTCTTCGTGGTCTCTTCAATGTGCTCAGTGAGTCATTCCTTCTGGCAGCGTTACGGTCGGGCTCGGCCGAGACACACGACATGTTTACCCACCGATAAATGAGGTCTGTGCATGTTTAGCTCATCACCACTTCTGAACTGTAGTGGATGGGGTCTGCTACTGCAGCGAAACAATGGAAGTGACAGCTGTGGAGAATACAACACAGAATGTGTCCAAGTGCTGATTCACCAACACTTTACACTGAGACACCGTCTGATTTGTTCCAGCATTCATGTCAAAGAGAGCAGCTAAACACGTGTTCAGGCGATGTAAACTAATTCAGACCAAAGGGCATCAAGTACCAGCCATCAGTGGTCTTTGGGCTTTCAGGTTCCACCTGGGCCCTGATCACATCAGCTAATTATGCCAACTGCAAACTAATCTGAGTTCTTGCTGAGGTGTGGCCAGAATGGCTTTCTACAACCTCTGAGTTTGGATCTCACATCAATGGGGCGTTTAATTCACAGTTCAGCACAGGTGGGAAGATTTAAAGCTAAAGGTGTGGCAACAAGGGCAGCACGGTGGCGCAGTTGGTAGAGTTGCCGCTTCTCAGCGAGGAGGTCGCCCCAGTTCAAATCCCAGCCGGGGGCCTTTCGGGGTGGAGTTTGCATGTTCTCTCCGTGCATGCGTAGGTTTTCCCCGGGTACTCCGATTTCTTCCCACAGAGGACATCTATCGATGTTAAAAATGTAACGTCGAGTATCCGTAGTGACGTCATATTATGTGACCACCGTATGACCGTAGGGGGCGGTGTTGCACTGTTGCAGGTAACAGAGTATGGTGTAACACCGGGTCCAATCCACCGAACCAAAACCAGTTTCGGTTTAAGTTTCGTTTTTGACGTGCTGCACGTTTCTTCACGTTTGCAGTTTAATAATAATAACTAATAGTTTAGTTTTTCCTGTGACTTATTTGCAATATGATAAATGGTAGGAACATAATATACGCTCCCAATGTTTTGTTGGTCTTTGTTTTGTTGTAAATAATTACCTTTTTTCACGGTTTTATTCATTTATTTATTTTTGTATCTTGAGATCTATGACGTCATCAAATACTTGAGTTCTACTCGGGTTTTATTATGTTAATGTCGAGTTTAAAAATTATATACTCGTTCAACCCCTACATTCAATAAGAACTAAATATGATGGAAGGAGCTTGTTATGTCTGTGCAGCTTGGTTATTTGGGTTTGAGATCAGGTTTCTTAATTTTGCTTTCGATGTCTTGGAATTCTTGTATTCATATGATCATTCATATGTTATCTCATTATCTCATGCCATATGACATATATCATGTATGCCACTCTTCTTCTTCTTTCGGCTCTTCCCTCTTCAGGGATCGCCACAGTGAGTCATCCTCCTCCATCTCACTATTCACTTTGATGAACTCACATTATAGTTTTGGCAAAAGTGTTTTACGTCAGATGCCCTTCCTGACACAACCCTCACCATTTACCTGGGCTTGGGACCAGCACAAGAGATACACTGGCTTGTGCTCCCTAGTGGCTGGTTTATATACAGTATCATGTATGTCAATACCTTACCATAATTCAATTAATCTCAGTGTTACTCACTAAATGTGCAATAACCTGTCACACAACCTGTGTAGTTTATGTTAGCTATGTGCAATATATATCATGTGCATTTAAGCATATTTTATTAATATTAAGGGTTGTAAGCTCAATCATCCAGGTAGATAATAAAAAAGGTAAAATAGTGTCATCCGGACCAGTTTCTTTAAGTGAGAAATGTTTCGTTCCCCATCCAGAGGACTTCCTCAGTCTACGGCCTGCCAACCAGATCTATCCCATAGGTAGCCGTCACTGCTGTGTTTCAAGCCAACCTCCTGTTGGAATCTCAAAAGAAGGCTTTTACCAGTAGGTTTTGTGTTAGCTTTAACCAAAAATCTGCTTCACCAATTTTCAACTAAAACACATTGAACACATTATTAAAGCACAAACGGATTGTACATCTGTGTGTAAAGATCTGACCAAAACGACTTAAACTTTGATAATTCTCAACATGAGAGACTCTTTGTTTAAAACTCTGGCACCTTTACAAACACCCCAGAACCACCAGCTCTACAGAACCTAAACTTTCTTGTTTTCAGCATCAAAACCGTTCAGAGTGAGGATCTGACGACCGAAAAGCTGAAGACACTTCAGAAGGAAAAGAGGTTTTTAGCTTCAGCCTCCTTCTGACGCTCACAGCCCTGGTTCTCGTGTCTGACGTGTGCAAGGAGAGCGGCTGCACTTCACGCCTTAAACTCGGAAATTACCGGGACACGGCTGCAGCCCGGCAGGCTGGAGTGTGCATCTCCTATCTGTGTCACAGACTGTTTGAACAGGAATGACTCAGACCCTCACAGCTCTCTGTCCTCCTTCTGATCTCTCCTTCATCTGTTCACCATCACATGGCCGAGACAACAAAAGGCCGAGGGAAACGGGTCGAGTGAACCGTTTCAGACAGGGGAACACAAAAACAACATGAGCAGGAACATCCACCTGAACAAGAAACCCGTTTTAAATATTCCAGCTGCTGAACTGATGTGAGAGTTAACCACTTTTTTCAAAATGCTGAAAGTCAGAGTTGTGTGGATTGGAACAAACGTTAAAAATTTGTTAAACTAAAGCTAAAATTATCTAAACAAGTTTGGCAGAAGCTAAAACCGGTAGGATAATAGTCAAATACAGAAACTA